GAAAAGCCTAGCATAACAAGACTGGTCAGAGGACGAAGACCAACGGAAGAAGGAAAGGGAGAGGTTCTACAACAGCTGGCTGCTAAAGGGCAAGATTGCAGAATTGAGCGAGGACCGGATACAGTGGAAAGATTGGCATAATTCAATTCCGGAAAGGAATCCTCGTCAACAGACAAGGTCGGAGGTACCAATCATGGTCTAGGCCCAACGGGATTGGATTCTATGCTTCAAGAGTCCCAAGGAAGTTGACTAAAWGAGGCACAGGGGGGAAATAGGTCAGATAAGGTGATGAAATAAGAAGGCAGTACGGAGTGCCACGGCCCAAAGGATACGAAAAGACGGTTTGAAAAGAGGGGAAAAAGTCTGAGGATGAGCAAATAAGGTAACAAAGGTAAAGGGAGGGCCTCTCTCTAGGTAATTCGGTTACATCTGGCAGACCCGGATACCAGGTCTGAGAGGAGAGAGGAAGGTTGGGCAAGCGGTCAGTTAACTTCCCACTATGGAGGTATAACGATCAACAGTGCWTACAGAAAAGAGGGTTTAGGGTTTAAGGTCGAAGGGCATCCCAATCTAGGTACAGGAAGTCTGAATGGGTAGGGTTTAGGCAATAAAGGTCATTTGAGGGATTCGCTCCAGAATGATGGTCACCATCCGGCAGACTCGAACACCAGAGCTGAGAGAAGAGAGAGGGTCAGGGCAAGCTGACTGTCAATCCTCCACGAATGTGGAGCAATCGATGCTGTTCAGGGGTCCTACAGCCAAACGGAAGGAAGCGTGCGTGAGTTCTCAATTGATGTAAATTTTTTTTTTTCAAGACTTGCCGGGGGAATAGGAATCGGACTGACGCTCCCCAGAATAGAAGGAGCCAGGACCATAAGGCCTGTTTAAAAAAAAAAGAAAAAAAAAAGAAAAAAAAGAAAAAAAAGAAAAGCCCAGCATAGGATGATAGAGCAAGCCAACAAACATCGTCGCCCATCACAGTTCCAAGTAGCCGACTTAGTCTGGGTCAAGGCTAAAGAGTTTGCTCCTGAGGAGAACATCTCGCAAAAGTTACTGCCCGCGTATAGAGGACCGTGGCCAGTTCTAGAGGTCAAGGGCGGAGAAGATAGAGATTCCACTACACCTCCACACCTACCCAGCTTTTCATGCGCCAAAGTTGTTACCATGCACCGTGAGTGATCAGTTCCCATCCAGACGTTCCATGATCCCCCCAGACATGGATGGGAGGTACGACATTGACGGCATTGTAGGCGAAGACGTGTTTAGAACAGGAGGTCGAGGTCGTCCTCAAAAACAGTATAAAGTCAGATTTGCATATCAGGAACCAGAAGACAACCGGTGGTTCACCAGAACTGAACTTCTGGAAACAGCTCCCGACATAGTTAAGGCCTACGAAAGAGATAGAAAGGGTAAAGGTCCTGCCTTGGGCTGAAATATTATCGGAGGACCTCGAATTTAGGCCGGCGGGAGTGAAACGGTATTCACCAGTTCGCAGTAGCTGATGCAGATCCCAGGGCTCGATCCCTAGTTCCCCACCTTACCTGTGTACAGTACCTGTGTCAACCAGTAGAG